CTAAAGTAAGAGAGTGGGGAAGATGAAGAAATGTTTGTTTATTTTGATTGTTAAAAAGTGTCCGGGAAATTGACCCTTCCGGAAAAGGGACGTCCGGATATGGGACGTTACACTGTAATAGAAAATAAAGAATAATGAAGTAAAAAATTTGGTTTTCTTTGTAAAAATTTTCATTATATTCTTTCATGCAGTTATTACTACTGATTTACACATAGCTTTTAAAATCCAATATTTTTAATACAATATTATTTATTACAACAACTGAATCTCGAAATGAAAACACGCATTTAGTAACCTCTTTGGAAGGGTCAAATTCGCATGATTTCGCCGTCGATCTTTTTTTTTGTTGATAGTTATTGCTACAGATTTAACGATTTTTTATATTTTTTTAATGTGATGCTGAATTACTAAATGCGGAAAAGGAAATAACTAGTGTATAATCTTCGTACAAAATGTGAGAATATCGCCTATAATATTAGAACAAAAAAAATTACCTATTAAATTAAAATTTTTTTTTTTTACTTTATCTAATTTTTTCATTTATTTATTTTTTGAAGTTAACGCTTCTGTTACTTAGTAACATGTATATTTGTTATTTTTAAGTATCTTGCAGTAAGATACTAGTATTAGAGAGGTATGTCACAGAAAGAGCGAAAAAATTCTGCCACAGGGTCTGTTGTGTCTGTGTAAAGGTGACCCACCCTATGAACGTTATCCGTGGCAGTGTGGTGTGGGTAATGCTTCTTGCCCCATGACTTTGGTTCACACGTGCCCACTGGGTAATGTTAAATGAGCAACAGTTCCGGCATCTTCCAAGGTGAAGAACAAAAGTTCAGTACTAGCCGTAGAAAAAAATATTAATAAGATACATAATTTATTTCTCCATTCAAACACATTTTGAAAATTTTTTCTCTTCAAGTTTAATTGTCTATTTTAATACAAATTTCTATATTTTCAATGAAAATTTGTAATAAAAATAGCAGCAAGCAAAAGAATGAATAATTTCAGTTTTTATTTTCATTTACCATTAAGTTTAATAACAGTAAAAGGTTTTATTTTGAAACTGGGAATAAAATAAAGGATGCTTTTTTATTCTAACTACAAATTACTAGAAATAATTCTTTTTTCTTTGAAAAAAAATTACCATAATAGATTGTTAAACGTGAAAACAAATTTTAATCTATTTATTATAGAAAATTAGAAATTACAGGACAGATATGCTTTCACTTAAAATTTTTCTTTTCTAATGTTAAATATAGATCAGTTTTTTTTTAACTTGATTTAAAAAAATACTAATTCATTGAAAAACACTCTTGATAATATCTGATCTGTTACAACTTACAACATTTTTCTCACTGCCGATCTTGCTACAATAACTTAGACACTTATTTTAAAGGTCCATTATAACTAAAATGTTTAACAAAAATATTGCATTTAATATTAATTAGTTATTTTTGGGCAAATATATAAATATAACTCTACTTAACAGTAAAACTTTTCTACATAATTTTCATCTTTATACAACATTTTAAAATAAGAGCCTCACAAAATAGAGTTGTAGACTTGTAACAAATCTATTCATTATTTATGAGCTTAGCTAACCTTTAAGCATTCTGTTCTTATTTTTTGAGACCATTATATAGTTTTAAAGTTTATTTCAGCTGAATTCTGTCTTGGACATTCTTTTAAATCCCATGTCTTGTAAATTTTTTCAGTGATTCTGGTTAAAGAATATTTCTGTATCATTCTAATTGAGCTAACAGTAATACCAAGGTAATACAACAGGATTGTTCACTAATTGCAATATGTATGTACACAGTGGCTTGTCTTGAGCAAGCTGCAAAGTTATCATTCTGAGTTTTTTCTGTGTTGTGATTTTTTCAATGTTTTTCAGGTTTTAGCTCTAATCAAAATCAAACAAACATTATAACACATTATCCTAAATGGAAATCTTCACACAAGTTCTTTCAAAGTCACTGAAATAATTTATCTTTTGAATAATTTCAACCAGCTGCAATGTTTCAGCCAAACTAATCCAAAAATCACTATATTGTTTTAAAAATGAGGCATGCACACTTTGCCAGCAAACAATTCCGAAATTACTGTAATCCAAAGAGCTAAAACAAAAAATATGTAGGATAAACCAACTTGATGACTACTTGGAAGTTGATACGCTTCACCTCCGATTTCTTCCATTGTAAATCCAACAGGGAAAATTACGGCAGCAGCGCAAAACAAGCCCATTGCACAAAACCCAATCCATCTTGCATAAGGTACTCCTTGGTCATGCCAATGGGAAGAAATGAGTAACAGTACTGTAATAAACACAGCGAAGCACCCTAAGACTATACAGGCCAACGCTAATGTCCACTCAGATCTCAAACTAGGAGTAAAGCATACTTGGTCACGACCATAGATAGTCATACAATTTCTTAAAAGACCTAGTCTAGTATTACCACCAACATCAGAAACAATCCAGTCTGGTAAAATCAAGCTAATGACAGCAAAGAGGTTAGCAGAAAGAAATAACGCACAAGATATAACAGTTAAGCGGTCCATTGAAATACTTAATTTGACATTACGAATAAGAAGAATGAATGGATATGCAGAACTTATGTATGATGAATCTAAAAAATATTATATTCCCTACTGCTATATGCTCTATGTATACATAGATATAAAGGTAGATTAGTCCCTGATGTATATGATAAATATAAATAAATAAAGATGGAAGTAGATGGGGTTCAAATATCAGAACATGCTTGCTTTAAATAGTTTCAGCTTTAAGCTCGCTTGGAATAAATAATGACCTCGAATATCTGTGGATTCCAGCTTGATTATTTTTACAGATGAAGTAAATCAGAACTGTCTACCTATTGGCGATTGAAACTGGCTGCAGATGGCGTAGAGCAGAACTCTTTATCCATGGCAATACTGCGCATACTTTCATCATGGCGAGTCATAGGACAAGGCAGGCCTGAAAGAGGGACGGAAAAGAGAAAATACTGGTAGAAGAACTATTTCAATATTAGATAATATTCGGGAGGAGTTAATCTATTCTCAACAATAACAATTCACTGTAACGAAATTTTTCACTTCGATGAAGCAATTCAATATAAAAATTGCATCCGTTAAAAACAATTGGTAGTAATAGATTTTTATTATTCTCGAAAATAAAAACTAAAAAAAGAAATTTATTAGTTACCAGTTTTTACTCTTTTCCGTCTCGATATATATGGGCTTTCAGCCCTGGGACAGGGAAGTAGGTTAGTTTCTCTCTCGCTCTCTCTCTTAAAAAGTCCCGCAGTGGACTGACCGTTAAGACACGGTTCCCAGCAGATCACCGAAGTCAATCATCACTGTCTGCGGTCAGTGTGCGGGTGGGTGACCACTTGGATCAGTCCGCGTAGGGACCGAGGGTGTGCGGTATGGGTCCTCGTTAAACTGTTCTGCCGTAAAGTGCTCGACTTCGCATGCAGGTCGTTGGGCTACCGAAGAGGAGGTGTGCCATCCCCTCTGCAGAGGATCAAAATTGTGATGGCATGTCTTCGGATCATCCTCAGGGATGTTTCCCAGACCGTTGCCAATAGCCCATTGAGCAGCTCTAGTGCGACGTAAATGAACTACAACAACAACTCTCTCTTAAAAAAAAAAACGTCGTGAAAATTAAAAAAAATATTATTAATAATTAAATAGAAAAAATATTAAAAAGGGGAAAATATCGTAGTACATTCCTATACAAATGAGAAGAGGAGGAAAGGGAAGGGTTGGCAAGATATGGAACCGGTCTTCTCCCCTGGATGGAGCATTCGAGTTTTGCTATCACGAAAGGCTGTACTTCATATGTTTTCACCATAAGCGTATGTATAGTATTAGGAGAAGAACGTTAGGAAGTACGTTAGTTTCATTTTGATTTTCAAATAGATTAAAACTTTTTGAGTTAAGAAGCTATATAGCAGTGAATCCATATATGAAACTCAAAATTGCATTAAAAGAAAATTTATAATATATTTTTGCTTGCTTGAATGCGTAAATTATTATAGAAGGGAAAAACATCGTAATACATTCCCATATACAAGGTGTCTCATAAATACTGGTCACTTAAATATCTCTTGATATAAGGATTATAGAATTTTCAAATTAAGTCAGTTTCTGTCACGTGACGTGCTTTTAGTAAGTTTTTAGAAAAGTTCACTTTTTATACTTTGTTTTAATGCATAAACCTTAAATTACAAAAAATGTTCTTATGTACTCTGTAACAAGTCTGTAAATAAATAAATAAAAAAAAAATACCAGTAAAATTTATCCAAAAAAAAAAAGAATTAAAAAATTGTGACTTACGCTATTTTCATGCAAGGAAATGGGAGAAAGAAATGATCTGCTTAAGGATCTCTATCAATGTGACATTTCGTCACAGGCCGCGATCAAAACTTTTCTTACTTGGCATTGATTGCAAACTTTTTTGAATGAATTTAAAGATGCTTATATGTTAAGCTGAATATTTTAATCTTATCATTAGATAAAGAAAATATTTTTAACTAAATTTATGAAAATGTAAAAATGAAGCTGAATTATCAAAGAATTAAAGATTTTTAAATGCAAGCTACTTTTGAATGGTGTATATTGAATAATTTATTCTTATTTTGTAGAAATTATAAAAAGCTATTTGCAATTTGTAAAGAGTGAGTGAAATTTATTGAGAGAAATAAAGTAGTTAAAATTAGTATTTAATTAATTTTTAACAAGTTCATTTAGGAGTTAATGGTTCATAGTTTTCTATTTCTCATAAATTGGAAAGAAATAACAATTTTACTTCACAATTTATTCTTTTTCAATGGAATATTTAAATAAATTTTCTCTAAATATATGAAGCAAAGTTATGAAAGTTGCTCTACTAAAATTAAATGCATTAGAGATCTCATAAAAAGGAAAATAAAGAACAAATCTTAATTAAGTAAAAATAATATTTTATTATTTTTACAAAGTTTATTTTACTGATAATTGGCAATCACATATTTACAATTTGCATCACAATACTTAGAATTTAGCTTAATATGGAGAAAAATTTGCTTCGTCTAAAAATTTAAGTTAAAAAAATAATTAACACTTTGCAACAAATTTAATTTATATTCCAAATCTTAAAAGAAAGGAGTTTAAATAATAAATAAAAGTAAATATTTTTTCATTTTGACGAAGTTTTTTTTTTAATAATTAACCTTTATTTATTCGTAACTTATGACATATTAAAAAAGCATTTATTATACAAAATTTCCTTTTCTGAATAAAGAAAATTGTATTATTCATGAAGCAAAATTATAAAAATGCACCAACTATTTTTTAAAAGAAATTACACACTTTACGACTCTTTTAATCTTATATTTAAAATATAATTACGTAAATTAAATAAAATGTAAAAACACATCAGTGTAAAGTAAAATTAATATTTAGCTATTTTTACAATTAATGTATATTACAATGATTGGAATTTATTTTTATGCATCACAAATTTTAACTAAGTAGACGCACATAATTTCCGTGTTTCTTTAATTGTTCCTTGCCTACTTTCAATTTTTATTTAAAAAATAGCACACTTCTCTCTCAGAATTTGTTTTATGTGCCCACCGTTTACTCCAATACTTAAGTGAAGTGTTTCAGATGTCGAGTAGTGAACACGCGCTATTTTCTCAACAGATACGCTGTTGCATGCATCTGTAATTCTGTTGGAGAGTTCTCTCACATCCAGTGGCGTATGCAGAATTTTTTCAAGGGGGGTGTTCATAATTTTCTGAAATTACCAAAAGAAATTCGAGTACGTAATAAAGCACTATTATTTCCCTAATTCAGACAGTTAACAATTTTGACTTTTTATTTAAACAGCATTGTTTAGTTACATTTTGATTTGATTTGTTAAGTTTAAGAACATAGTGTAATATCTTCTCGCATGTAATATCTTCTGAAAAGAGTCCAATGTCATATGGGAGGGAAGTAACACTTTGAGGGTCACTTTCACATTCATCAGATTTTGTTATGCTAGAAACGTTTTCTTCAACGGAAGTATCACATTTCTGTTCAATAGAAAAACTTACATTGGTACCCGATGCTGTCACCTCACTAATTTCAGGTCATGATTTTTTCTCAAAATGATTAAAAGTTGATTAATTCTTGCGTTTTGGCATCCTAAAGATCCAGGAACAGCAAATATATACATATATTTATTGGCATTGAAATATCCGCTATGCTACGATCTCAAAGTTTCGAGCTGGAATGAATAACTTCAACGAGCACAGTATCTCCAATGGTATTGTTACTGATTTCTTCACTAGTTGAAATAGTGGCGACGACGGATTCGACGATTGAATTAACTTTTTGTTAAGACAAAACGAAACAGATTTAGCGACGAGCTCCGAACGACAAGCGGCAGAGATAACTCTTAGTCTGACTAACTAACTCCCCTGTACTCCGTTCCCCCTTTTATATAATTTTTCATCGCATCTCCAAAATTCTCGAATTGTCTCAAAAACGACAGAACGTCTAGGATTCCAGAATCATCGCGTAAAGACCTCGCGAATGACAGCCAATCTCGAAAACTATCGCGACTGGCAGAACAGAAAGGAACCAGCCCGTAACAGTATCACGCGAATTCGGTTTCAAAAGTACAACTCTATTATAGTAAATGTTTTTTCAGTATTTTGAGAAATACCGTGAGAAAAAAAAAGTAGGCATAAAGCAAATAAAAATATATAGTCTTAAAAAATAATAGCCCGCATAATTTCTACTAAAATTTTTATTTTTGCCATTTTGTCTGAGCTCAAGGGGGGTGTTTAATCCCCTCCCTTGCGTACGCCCCTGCTCACATAGTTAGGTGTTGTTACACAGATAACAGATTTTAAACCTCCCTATTAACAGAAATCTGAAAGATTGAGATCTGGAGATCTCCGTGGTGTGCAAAATCTGACATTCGTCAGTCCAGACAACTGATAGGAGAAAGTTGGATTAGACACCAGTTACAACGATTAAGTCTTCGTTGAATTGGTTGAAGTGCCTGATGTCCATGGACAGTAAAGGGATGCATTCATACTTTCCAAGTGTTCCCCAGACTCTTGCGGATAAAATATTTAATGAGTTGCCCACACTTCTTATGCTCTCTTGAGGACAGGAAGTAAAAAAAAAAAAAAGGCTAAAATATTAATCTCTTCATCACCTGTTCGATTTCTGAACTATACTGTCTGTGAAAAGTTCCAGTATTTCGTAATCATTCCATTAAACGGCCTACAAAGTGTTTCAATGGCGGCAAACTACTTTGATATCTTTACTGAAATTGCGTGACTGCTACATAGGGAACTTCATTACATCGAGCGTAAATTATAGTTAGGTCATAGAGTTGTTCGTTGCTAAAACGAAGCATGCTGATATGAAGGTGATATAATTTTTTAAAATTTAAAGCTTTTATATTAACAGCTGTCTAGTGCAGCTAATTTCGTAATTATTCGTCCATTAATGATAATATTATTAATAAATCATTTTTTTATTATTATTAGAATTAAAATATTTTATTCATCGCTTAGAAATGAATGAGGTTAGGACCTTTTTTTTTTCCTTTGCTGTTTCATTACTGTTGAAAATTTGAAGAGAATATTAGTTTTAAGGTAGATTTTCTCGTTTTATTTGGTATTTTCGGCAATGATATAAAAATTTTTCGTTAAGGAGATTAATAACAAGTATCATTAAGAAATAATTCTCAATTTCTTAAAGTTTATTGTTAGAATACATTAAGTGCGTAACCTTTCGCAAGTTTCCCCCATCGCAGAGAAGTATTAAAGAGGATTCATTGTAATACTAGCCCTTACAAAAAAGCAACTAATTTTTCCTTTTTTTTTTTTTCCTTTTTTCTTTACATGGTAATATTGACGATAACGTAAATTAAAACATGATAAATTTCATAATATCAATTAAAGAAAACATTACACTTAGAGCATTAAATACATGAAATTGTGCAACTAATATAATCTTTCTGCCGCTGGAAAGAGAAATATACGTCTGTCACAACTTGGTTGCGAAACTATTGGTTGCGTTTATGAAGAAACTATTATTTTGTTTGTGCGTTTTTATAATTCGTATCGATTTTAGTTCCAAAAATCGTTCATTTGTCTTATATTTTATTCTTCTGAGAATTTATTGTAATTTGTAAAAGAGCTGTTTATTCTTTTGATTTGAAAAGTAAAATAATTTTCAGTGAATATTTTTTTTCTTCCGTTTTATGTTAGTATTACGAAACTTTTTCAAAAGTTGCAAATTTTAAATTTTTATGCGGCTCTCGAAGACAAAACATTTTAATACAAAATTGTTCCGTATAAGAAATTAATAAAAATGGTAAAAAAAACACACCATCCTAACTAAAAAACTGACCAATATATCAATATTTAAAGTTTATAATTGATATTAAGGGGCAGTGTACTTAGTGCACTTTAAACTAATACACTTCGAGGAAATACAATAATTCGAGAAAAAAAATGAACTACAGTGAAATTAGTTTGATGAAAATGAGATTGCAATTATATTTAAATTTTTCTTAGATTTTTTTCTTAGAAATGCTTAATGGACTGAATAAATTGGAACTATGCTTTTATAACTCTTATATCGCGAGATATTTAGGTGAGCAGCATTTATAAGACACTCTGTATATAAAATGAATCTTTAAAAATAACTCTCCTTAGCAGCTTTAGTATGGTTCAGGGTCTATTAACAAAGAGAACATTACGTTAAAGATATTTTTGTAGTTACTAGGTACTATTGAGTTGATTATCGTCCGGCTGTCATTGAAACGTTTTCATAGTCTTTACTTGCGTGACGTTAATTCTGATTATTTTCATTTGAAAAGTCTTTCTTAAAGATAAATTTAAGTCATACTAAAATTAGGAATTACTTGGGTTTATGAGCTGGGTGTCAAATTACAAAAATAAGTAGAAACGTGTTTTATTATATACACTAAAATTATAGGCTATCAATTTCGCATTAGGATTGAGTGAAAAATCAGAGATGAATAAATCTTTTTATCCAGATAAATAACATACAACCATAATAGGAAATTCAGAATAATTATTTGTTTAAGACTGAGACACAAACTAAAAACAAAATGATAACCAACTTTATAAACAATCCATAAGAATCAGATAAATAAAAAATTAAAATATAGCATTACAAAATTTTTGCGAGCTAATTTTTACAGAAGGAATTTCCAAAATACTCCAGAAGATTGGTTTGGAATGTGCAATATCTCTGTTTACAGCCTGAACAGAGACATTTCTTTATATTCAGTAATTTCATATAAAAATGGAGTTAACTATAAACAGAGATTATTTGACCATCATTTGTTATTCTTTTCTTTGGCGCAACAGAGTCGCTCTGTTTTCTTTTTTTGGAAGTGTCACAAGTTCGTTGCCTTTTCTTTTGGGTTTCCTTTCTTGCTCTCTCTTCCTTTTTCTTCAGGGGATTTGCCAGTGCCTTTGATCTCTTTCTTTTAGAAGAACAACTTGTGTTGGCTTTTCTTTTTTTGGTTTTCTTCGAACGCTTTCGTTTATTTAGGCAGTATCGTTTTCTGGCCAATGGTCTTAGTTCCATTGAAAAGGCGCAAAACCTGTCATACAAAGACATCCATCTTTTTCTGGGACGACCTAACAGTGCTTCAAGTCTGTCCTTTGGTAATGTTATCTCTTTCAAGAGTTCAAGAGCAACCTATGAAAAATATTTCAATACAATTAGCATTGTTTGAATCATTCAATGCTGCAATATTTCTTTTTAAATTTTTATCATAAACCTGTCAATTGTTTTTGTGCTCCACACTTACGCAGTATGTAATTCTAACTTCAGATCACGCAGCAAAACCGACCCGCCAGCATTATATATGTAATATCAATAATGAGCGGGTTGTCATTCCTTGGAGATTTAGTAAATCAATCCACAACGGTTTGCAGGTACGTCTGCATCTATTTTAAGCCAATTTTCTAGGATTTGAGTTTTACGCACTTTTTCAATACACCATACATACAATACATACAATTCACCACAGATTTTCCATGGGCTCAAATCGGGTGAATTTGCAGGCCAATCGAGATTCAATAGGCTGGTAATGTATTAATAAAACCAGTCACATATTTTCCCAGCCCGATGAACTTTGTTGCACCGTGAAAAACTGATGTATCAACACCATACTACACACAACACCATACATACATGTATCAACACCATCACATACTACATACAAGTGATAAATCGAAGGCATCACTTACTCGTCTAGTTAAAATTAGCATGTTGTTTCTTGTAAATGGTCACATTAGTTAGCAATGGTCACATTAATCAGAATAACTCGGTATTAAGAGAGTGCCATGATTTCTCCAAAGATGATTAACTTTTTGCCCTGTAAACTCATATTGGTATGATGAGCTGGCCAGCAGGAAAATGAGTAAATACGTTACTAAGTGAGAGGCAACAAAATGCCTAGAAAAAAAGGCTTACCAAGTAACTACTTCCAAGGAAAAATTTAGAAATTTAAGAAAAATTAGTATTTTTTTGTTTGTTGACATTCATGAAGATTAAGTGGTGGAGAGATGACCCTTCTCCTGATTAACGCATGTGTTGTCTAGGTCTTGGCTCCTAGGATTTAGTAGAGGAGTCAATTTAACTTTTAAACTTTGAAGTTTTTAGTATCTTGCTCTAATTTTAATGTAAATCTAATTTAAATATTTGAAGTTAATCTATAAGTATAATAAGAGAAAAGCCATCACCATCTCATATCTAATTCCTCCACTTCCTCTGAGGTTAGAAAGCTTAAATTTGGACCATGCGTTTCCGAAGATATGAGATAAAACTTTAAAATAAAAAGGTTTAATTCCGATATTCTGTAGTTTAAGGTAATTTTGGGATATTGTCCCCAATTGAAAGTTATACTAACTAAAAGTTTGCCACAAACGAAGAAGTCTCAAAATTTGGCCACATGTTCCTCGTCAGATTAAGGGTAAACTAAAAATAGTTTCCTTTCGTTATTTTGTATCATCGATCATCAGGAAGTTCTGAGAAAATATCTCTTAAAAGTAATTTTGATCTTTCAATAGTTCCCAACGCATAGTATACATAAATCTACTTTTTGATCAGACAGAAGGCGTCTACATTAATATTTTTTGATAAGAATATGAATGTAGAGTTTTTATCAACTCTTTAACATAAGGAAATAACGCACTTAATTATTTAATATTAAAGAATACAAACTTTTAACAATACGTCAGCCTTGCTCTTCAGTAGATATAATGTGGCTTCGTATCCTCTAATTAAGTAACATGAAACATCTTCCAAAACTTCTTTAGTCATACGTTTGCATTCGTAATTTTTGGGATCTATCTTTAGACCCCATTCCATTTTAACCTGAAAACATTAAGACATATTTATTTTTTCTTAATAATTTTTTTAAGAAGTCTAAACATTTGAATGATCTTAATCATACGGAGAGTTTAATGAATGATGGATTCAATTGCCCAACCGCTGCAGCACAAAAGCATCAAGTATTGGTGAACACGTTGGCACAACGCCTCAAGTCACATATGATTATGAGCTTAATTTAATCGATTGGGCAGAGTAGGTCTGAGTGCAGCAAAAGATCAGTCTGAAGTTATAGGTCAACAGTGCTCATCGCCTCCCACAGCTGGTTTCGGAACCGGGTCGATAACTACAAGGCTATCTCCACCTCATGATGCATGGACAAACCTCCGACTAGAATATTCCACATTTGAACCATCAACTTACATTTAAAATTTCAAACATCAAAATTAAGACAGGAAAAAGCAAATCGGTTATTGCAAATAAGTAAGTTCTGAAACCGGCTTCCTCTAAGCCAAAACTAAAAACTAAACTCAGTGGCGTGACAGCCCATAGAGGGAACAAGGCCTACTGCGTCCATCTCAGTTTTCTTGACCTTGGGATCTGTGGTGCAGGAGCAGATGTTTCAGTTAGGTGGTCAGCCGAATGCGAAATCCCCAATGTTTAGTTCCCAACCATGCTTCCTCTAAGCCAAATGGGATGACAAAGATCAGCTGTCTCGTAAGTGATTTTCTTTCGCAATTTCTCCACGACTCTTCGGTTACTAAGGGTAAGTTTTAATCAAAGCGTTATCGTTTACTTTCAGCTTAGGAACCTCCATCATCCATTTCCTTTGCAGTCTGGTGATCGGGACAATTGCAGTTAGCGCAAGAATCTTCTAGATTGCAATTCTTTGCCGAGTGTCCCGACCGAATGCATTTTTAACATCAAAGAGTTCGAAGGATCTCTCTCAGATTTAGTGTCTTCAAACCGTGGTTTATTTTTGCTTTGTCTAACTTGCGTTTCATACTTCGGTTCGATGTTAAGTACCCAATGCGTTCCGTTGCGAGACTTGATAGGAAGACAGACCACCAAATCAACTTTCCCTAACTTTCAGACGTTTTGTTTGAGCGGCTCGATTAGAAAACTCTTCTCGCCTCAAAATCCAAGACAGCCTTCAGCCATGGAAACCAGAAATAGCACTTTCAAAAAGAGTTTCGCAATAGAGAAGAAAAACGATTCCCGTTATCTCGCCGACCAAAGCCAAAACCTGTTTAGAACATCGACCCTACTTTTTTTGAAATAGTGAAACTTTGTAACCATTGTCACACCCACTGCTCTAAACGAATGGAGATTGAAGTTTTTTACATATACAGACTATAGGTTGGTTTTGTTTGCCCCTATACTGTGCTGCAAGTCAAGAAAAAACCATTATCCTTATGGAGAGAGCCTGTTTGCATATAAGTACACTCTGAATAGACGCCAAACTCCTAGCGCGAACGAATATCAACATAGGCAACTTTTGAAACGACGTAGCAAGTCCTTTTTGCTCATCTCATAAAAAATAGCACAAATTGAATTTCTCTCCGACGAATTAAATTTTTAAAAGCTTTTATATTGTGTTGAAAGCATGATTATATAATTTGATAGCTAAATAAAACGGAACTATATGCAGTCGTGGATGACTACTTAAATTCTATGCCGCAATGGTCCTTTCTTGACTAGAGTATAGTGCATGATTATTTGTGACTGCTTTAGCGATGGAGCTTTATATTCGAATTGTTCACCCAAGCATTGGTGATAAATTTCCTCTTGAAATTTCCCTATGTCTTTTTTTCTGTTAATGTTGTAGAAGTTTCATCACTTTCTATTTTATCTGCTGAATTCAAATATTTTATGCAAATTTTAAAAATTTATAACAGATATTCGGATTTAGTTTATGACATGTTTGATATGCTTGCCATCAGTGACTATTGAATATCTAAACTCTGTATATCACGCTGAAGTAAGTGTCCAAACATTCCTCAAAGATGGTTCACAAGCGTTGATATCCGGAGAATATGGTAGCCGTGATGATTGATCTGCACTCTACCACACTGAAAATGAATAACAATAAGATCTCCAAAAAAAGGGTGATAAAATAAAATCCCAAAGATATTTTTCTTTCTTTTTGCATCCCATATGAAAGTTACAAGTTACTACTTATTTTAACTGGTTTAGTAACACATATCTTGATTTTTCCTTGTTAATATAGTCACCTAATTAAATTAGTATTTTTAACATGTATTACGCTTTCTTACCATATAGTAGGCTATGTTGATAGCTTTATGAATATCACTTCTTTCCCAATGAATGAAATAAGGAAAGTTAGCTTTTTCTTCAGGGAAAAACATGGTTTCCGCTATACGACCAGACAGACAGAAGCACATCTCTTCGAATAACTAAAAGTATAAAACATTACAAAAGCATAAATAATATTTAATTAACTTAATTTTAAAAAATATCTATCCGAAAATTTAACGAGAAATATACATTTCCTTAATAATAAAAGAAATATGTAAATTTCCTTAATAATAAAAAGAATATGCCAGAATTGTCGATATTTGCCAACATTCATTAATAAAACTTTTGAATTTATTCTGATAAAATTTAACATTATATAACGTTCTATGAAGTTCTAGGCTTACTGCCTTGTTTTTCCTTCTAAAGGTCAGTAACTTAAAAAAGAAATTTGACTTATTTAATTTTTAAATCAGCGCATAAAATCCGAACCAATTTAATTGTGAGAAATGCAAAATGCAGTTCCGGAAAATTTAGCCGCACAAATAGTATAAAGTAGCTTTTACCATGAATTTTGTTAACTGTAATTTTATGAGTTAGTACATACTTAAATAATAAGCAAAAGTGATGTATTCTGAATGAGAAAATTAATCTTTTTTGAAGAAAACCCCAACAATTTTGCTTAGTTTAAATTTAAGGATAATTCACTATTTTCAAGAGACAACGAAAATTTTAGTGCCTTAAGATTTCTTAATGCAACCCATAGCTTCTCAATGGTGGTCAATGTTAGACGGTCCAACCGTGGTCAAAATTACTCTACACATCATGGTTGTTGAGAGATAGGGCTCCGAAAACCAAAACAAAATGGTTGATTATGTTTGGGTGACGTGATGCGTCAGCAAATGTGCAGTGACTCACCCGACAAATGAGTATTGAGTAGCTTTAAATTGACTCACGAGTTGTAATGAAAAATATAATGAAAATAAAAATATATTTGAAAGTAAATTTTACTGCGCCTTAACTTCATTCGAAACTTAAAAAAGACTGGAATATGCTATTAGTCTTTACAAAAATAAAAAAAGGAATTTATTCATAATGGAAATGTAAAGATCCGATCATTAGATAAATATTATTCAGGGTAATCCATTTTTTTCTTCTTTTGCGCACTGTACATAAATACCCAGTATGTAATTGTGACTAAAATCCTCTTAACAATAGGCCGTAAAGTAAGCATTCATAAACGCTGAATCAATATTTAAAGGATGAAGCTGAAAGGTTGGCAGCTAGTCCGTTTCTGCACTCGGGAGTTAGGATTTCGAAAGCAAATTATAACATTGGATACCTAAATATATGACTAATACTAATAAAAACTATTCTTCGGATCTGTTTTGTACTTTTATCAAAAATGTTCTACAGTCGAACCTCGCTAACTCGAACCTCGATTTCACGAATTTTTCGATATCTCGAAGAAAAAAAAATTCCCTTCAAATTTCCTATACACTCAATGTTAAAAAAACCTTGATTTCTCGAATTTTTTTTCTAATCCCTCGATAACTTGAATTTTTTTCCATAAATAGTGCAGATTTTTTTCTGAAAATAAAAGAAAATGCCAAAAAAAAAAAAATTAAAAATAGAAAGCCAATTCTCATAATCAATTCTCAAACAAACACTTTCTGCAGTGGACACTGTAAGGAGATTTATTGAGAGGCAGCTAAATATGTCAGAGGAGAAATTTAAAGCCATAGTCCACTTAGAAAGTGTTATAGACAAACTTTCTTACCTATCTCTAAAGCAAACAACTATTGAATCTTTTTAAGTATAAAAAGTGTTTTTAGAATAAATATGGAATAGTAAATAAGGTATGTAAAGAGCATTTTTCTTTATTTTACCATCGATAACATGCGATTTTCGATAATACGAATTTTCGGTATCTCAAATTTTTTCTCCTCTCCCTTCAAGTTCGAGATATCGAGGTTTGACTGTATTTTGCATGTTTTTTTTTAAATGATCTGTAATGATGTTAATGATTACTGACAATCAATAACGAACTTTCAACGAAATTTTTAGTCGAGGAATAGATATTTACTTACAGCTGCCATCGTTTCAAGAGGATATTTTCTTTCTGGAGTAATATGGTGATGTGGTTCATGATAACGTGACCACGTGTAATAAATAGTAGCATAAGACGCAGTATTCCTTGAACCACCAAACCATATAGCCATTATATGGCCGGCTTCATGAATCGCAATTTTTTTGGTCTGATGATATTCCTGTAGGGCCTGGAGTTCAGCACCTCTACCAAGCTTGACGGCATCAATGTGACCAGCACGGTAAGTATAAAATTGCTTGTTTAAAGTCTGTAAAGCTTTATCGCTTAATTCCCAAGGAAATTCTGAAAATAAATACTTTCAATCTAAAGTACTGACATCAAATTTATTATAAAAAAATTGTTGTCAAATTATTTAAACATTAAATCTGGCTAGAATGGAAAAACCATTCCATGTGGATGATTAACTAAGTGTGGCTACAGGTGGCGAAAAAGCAGAAATCTTGCTCTACTTAAAACACTTTGCACACTTTCACCATCAGCATGTGGATAGTCTTAGAAGAGAGTGCGTTAGTTTGTCTTGTTTTTCAGACAAATTTAAATTACTTTAAGTTAGAAAATTTAATGGAACTCAAGATTGCACTAAACATAGTTCATAAAGAAAGTATCGAGGATTTTTAGAAAATATTTTTTACATATAAATGCAGGAAATATTATGGAAAGGGGAAAAAATCGTAGTATATCATTATACAACTGAGCTGAGGAGAGGAGGGAAGAGTCAAGACATAGCGTATTCGAACGATAATTCCGATATTACTGCTTTTAAGAAACGCTCACCGTCATTTTTAAGAAAAAGAATATTAAACGCTGTCGGATATTTTTCAATTGCTTGTAAACAGTCTTCCTTAAAACTTAATGGAATTACTGTTTGCATTTACTGTCAATTATGCGTCTTAGGGACAATTAGGTTGGGAAAAGTCAATGTGGGAAATCCTACTGTTTTAAAGTAGCCATATTACATATTCATTTTTATGGAATTCTATTGTTTACTGAGTTTTGTTCAGGAATTTATTTTCATTATGTTTCAAAATGAGGTATAAGGTTTGCCAACAGATAGCGCTACTGACTTTGAGAAAATATAAAACAATGTTTTAAAAAAGTCTGGTGACAAAATTAATTGACGATAGTGCAAATATTTCTGTTGGAATGGTTTGACATGCACACACACAAAAAAACATTGTTTTATTGTTCCTCCCTATTAGAAGTGCCATATTAATACATTTCATTATAAAGTTTCTAAAATTAAACTACCTTTTGCTTTTCATTGTACAAGACAGAAAAATATAATCGACAATGAAAAAAAATCAGCGTTCTACTTTAAAAATTAACTTCATTTAATGAACGATTAAGGAAAGTAATGAACCAATACCAATAAAAAAAAAAAAAGAACAATTCTTACTCTTAAAAACTTTCCGACAGTCAATCTTTTTTTCCTTCTCGTTGCCTACAAAAAATATTTTCAGAATAAGTTTTATTTAATTGTATTATAAAAACTACATAATAAAATTGATGTTTATATAAATAAAGCAGAAGGTTTAAATGTATGTGTGTATAAACCTACTAATACAAATCCACAATTCTTACCGAATTCGCACCAATTTGGTGTAGATACAAAGACACAGCACCCTTAACTGCTTACTTTAACACTTACTCCGACCACCAATTCAGGTGATGCATGCAAAAGAAAAGTTTTCCATAGGATTTGATGCATAAAGAAATATAGTGCTCGCCTCCCAATGAGGTTCCCATGGTTGAACGATACAAATTTTGTATCCAGTTTGCATCGATCGCAGTGCTAACGTAAAAATATCTTTAATGGTAGATGGATCAGGGGTTAAGTATGGTGATGACGTCATTGAATTCTATTTTGAAATGTATGTGAATCCACGAGCTCTTATATTTATAAGTTGCGTTTCTAAAGCGTGCTAATCGAATTAGTAGAAACTCAATAAGAACTAATGAAAAAAAAAATCTCTAGTTTTCAATTAAGACATGGAAAATTTGTGGCAAATTTTGAATATCACATTTTAAAAGATACTCTATGTATAGTTAATCTTTCTTTGAGTGAATTGATAGGTAAGTAAGTCAATAATAAGCTAAATTGATAGGTAAGTACTGCTTAGAGCTGTACAATGGGCTATTGGCGACGGTCTGGGAAGCATCCCTGGGGATGATCCGAACACCTACCATCAGAATTTTTGTCCTCTGCAGAAGGTTATTTACCCGATTTAGACATAAATCCGAAGGAAAATTTAGTAAGCTGAACTTTTCAGATTATGGTAAATCTAATAGTATGCAAATATACCAACTTGCTCCGATTTATAAAAAAAAATATTTTCTAATGCTATCGAAATTCACGTTACATTGAGTTTAGTATTTTTCATTTTAAGTAATTTTTTCACCAATATATATCAGAAATTCAAAGTAAAATGCAACTTTATTGCTGTTATCTCGTGATAACACTTCAAAAGAGTGGGCTTAATTATCCTTATTGACTAAGTTTAATAAAATTTTACCAAATTCATTAATAACAACTTTTTAAGAAAGTGGATTAATTGGCATTCCTGAGTGTGAAGTCGGACCTAATAAAATGAAAAATACATAAGTAATACAGTACATAAGTAAAAAAGGTTGTATATTGAATGCCATGATTATGTTGGATAGTGATATTAAGGTGGTAGGCGTTTCGGAGGGCGGTATAAAAATTAAATTACCACAGTATCCATATTATGCACCTTAGTATAATTGGTTTTCATTATCACAGTACTTGTAATGGCAATATCAGGAGTATTAGTTAAGCATTACTGGCGTCAAAAAAAGTTAAGGCTAGTTCTTACGACTTTCAAAATAAGTACCAATATTATTTCTCACATCAAAAATGGTTATAAAAATATTAGTGCTGCTACTAATCACTTTCAAGAATTAAAATTAACATTGTTAATGCTGAGATGCCAACTGCTCCGAATTCGTCAATTTAAAAAACAAAAAAACAAACGGTTGAGACCTACAATTTATAATTTGTAGATTTTCGGTTAATTCTGACAATTTTTTAAAAGGCTCAACACGGGTTTACTATAAAAGTTGCATATTACACAAGTTTTTAAATTATTTAGAAGTAGTGGTAAGTAAGAATCCTATAAATTGAATTTTTAAATCAAGAAATCAATTGAATTTTTTTACCAATTGAATTTTTACGTCAAATGACTAAAATTCGGAACTATTTATCAGCTATCCGGAGCAAGTTGGCATCTCTGCTAATAGGTACAAATTAAGTAAAAAAATGTTTTGTATTAAAAATGTTGAATTAAGAATGAAAAGTATCGTTTAGATTAAACCGTAAAGATTTGCCAATTTTTTTTTTATCAATCATGATTTACTTAAACTTGGTAACAGGTGCAAATTGAAATGACAAGATACGTTTTGTACGAAAAAGCTATTTTAAAGGAGAAAAAGTACTTATTCTTCTAGGAAAAAAAAATCGCATAATTATTATTAAGCATTCATTAATTAGAAACAGGAACTATTGGTAATATGTTAATTTGTGTTTTTTTTTAATAACTACTAAATACACTGATATTGGTACAAAGAAACCATTGTGGAAATAAGTTTTTATGGCACAACGGAAAGGATATGTAGAACAGAAAATTATTGATTACGGTAATTTTTGACTATCAGGAGTTGATCTCAAGCAATAGTATTATGTCAAATGATACTGAATATAATTATCTTTATTTTGATGTGATGAACTTCAGAAAACGTGATTTGCTTAATATGAATACAAATCACGTGGAAGAAAAAAAAATTAAATAAATAAAATGGAATTGTTCTAGCGTAAGGTGTCGGTATATGTCTCAGTTTTATGCATGATTTCGTAAGACAAATGTCTAAACTTTAAAGTATGTGATTTTAAATGACAGTTTACAATCACATATTTTAAAATGTAAACATTAATTACATACTAAAAATGTAATCCTTGTAATAATAATTTACAATTAGATTTAATGTCTTTAATTCCTGAGTTATCTAGATTTGAAAGTCTTATGCACAAAATTTGATTTCTCGAGAAGTATTCGGTTGATATTTCTCAAATTTTACATTTTGTCATTTAAAATTATATGCTATATAATGTAAAAATGTGTATACCTCACAATTTAAAAATTGTTCTATTTTTTTAAATACACAATAAAAAATAATAAACAATTATTAAAATTATTTTTTTACAGGGAATTATATTTGAATAAAAAAATTCATAATTGTGTGCAAAAATTTCACAATTTTGTGATTTTCGATTCACTCAAAATGGTGAAATACGCAAATACTCGTGATATGGTGAAATACATAAAATATAAAATTATCATTAAGAAGTCTAGTCTTTGGATCGCTCTATTGACCAATTATTTGTACCTTATTTTCCAGATCTCGTATCCCCTATATTTTGGGGTCAGAAATCCGAATCCGTCGAAAAATAAGGTATGTTTATTCACAGAAAGTACGTTTTGGGTCTGATTTCGAAATTAAAATAGCGTCTGCACTAATTAACAATATCAGCTCTAAGTGAGGTCACGCCATCGAATCTTTCAGAATGAATCTTAAAATGTGAACATCCGATCATTAGATTAAAAGTTATTTAGGTTGATCACTTTTTTTGCACTCTATGCATTTTAACTACAGGAGCTGAACATATTGATTATGGATTACGACTAAGAGAATTTTGGGAATCTTTTTATGATTGTCGTAACTTATAAAAATGTGAATTTCTTCATCATTGTTGTAACTTATAAAAATGTAAACCTCTTTAATATTGCTGTAACTTATAAAAATGTAACCCACTTTATTATTGTTACAATTTAAAAAAAATGTAAGTCCCTTATTGTTGTAAATTAAACAAATTTGAGCCTCTTTATTATAGTTGTAATTTATAAGAAATATAAACCACTTTATTGTTGTAAATTATAAAAATTTAACCTCTTTATTATTGTTGTAACTTATAAAATGAAAACTCCTTTATTATTGTAGCAACATATAAAAACGAAAACTTCTTTGTTATTGTTATAACATATAAAAACGAAAACTTCTTTATTATTGTTGTAGGTTAGCAAAAAATATTATTGTTGATAGCATTATCAACAGTAATGATAATTTTAACAGTAACTTATTTTATTGTTGCGACTAATAAAAATTATTTTATTTTGAAAATAACATAACAGGCAAGATATTAAATTCAAGCCTATTTTACATTGTTTTAAAATTAAGTTTATAGGCCATTTTTATGTTTTGAAAATTTTCTTCGCTTTACGAATTGCATTATATTAATTTTCTATTATCTTTAGATGATGCAAAATATAATTTTAGAGTAACTTAGATACTACTCGTCACACTAAAGAATACATATATTATAATACTAAACTGTTATTCAAATTGTCTAATGTCACTCCTAAAAAGTGAACAACTATTCATAATTCCACTAAAAGCATACAAAAGTCACTTACTTGTCATTTTCAAGTTTTATACTTCAATATAATGACGCTCATCTAAAGTTTTGAACGTATGTATAAAATAGTTTTATACAAAAAGTTTTCTTACGAAAAGAAAACTATAATTAACTTCATGAAATACTCCTTGATTTTTTGTTATCATTCCCAAAGAATGATTGAATTTTCTTCTTTACTACGTTGCATTAAATGTAACAATAAGTGTCTTTGAAGAAGTGGTACGTAAGTGGCACGTACAAATGCCCTACTGATTTTCGCAAGAAGTTAAAATAGTTCAATCAAGACAAATTACAATTGATTAAAAATTGAAAAGTTCACGAACTTGCAGGTTTCTCTCTTGACAAATGAATAAACAGAGAATTAGTAATTAAAACCAAGCATACGATTTCTCCAAATACATTGATTGATTGAGAGATTCAGGTTGAGAGTTTTGGCATTTTGCCAAAGTAGTTAGAGACTTAAAGTTTCTAACTACGATTAAGAAAGTTACATGTTTGTGATCGAACCTCAGGTCTATAAAAATATATCTTATACAAACCAATGCATTAACTAGAACTTAATGAAAGTTTCGTAGTATAGTTCTAGTTTTAAAGTTGCTGTCGTAGTAGTTCATTTACGTCGCACTAGAGCATCCCAATGGGCTATTGGTGACGTTCTGGAAAACATCCCTGAGGATGATCCGAAGACATGCCATCACAATTTTGAGCCTCTACAAGGGGGACGGCACCCCCGCATCGGTAGCTTGACGACCAGCATGCGAAGTCGAGCACTTTACGGTAGATCAGTTTAACGAGGATCAATCCCGCACATCCTCGGTCCCTATGCAGACTGATCCAAGTGGGGTCACCCACCCGCACACTGACCACAGCCGCCAGTGATGCTTGACTTCGGTGATCTGCTGGGAACAGCGTCTTAACGATCAGTCTACTGTGGGACCTTGTTTTAATGAATTGGGACCTTATGACGCAAGAAGTCAAATGCTTATGCTCGAAAGATACAGGGAAAACTTGGCACTGAGTTATCTGTAGGATGCATACTGTAATCGACAAACAAATTGTAACATTCATTTTTTAGGGTTATTTAGTCATTGGTATGGTAATCAGCTGTCAGTCAATTCTTTAGGAGTGGTGGATTAAGGATTAAAAACTGCACCCAGTTGTGAAATTCTGATAGTTCTTCTAGAACTGTGAAATTCTGACTGAGAAATTTTAGGCAAGAAGGTTGCACGTTCGTGTTCTAAAAACAGTGAACATCAGCGCTAACTATATCTTAATTAAAATTTCGAGCTGCGGTTCTTATCTTATAATACCGGGACTATAGAACAAGAAGTCTCATTTTTATGTTCTGAGCTTACAGGAAGGTAGGTACTTTATTAACATCACATTAGAGCCGCACTAGAGATGATCCGAAGGCATGCCATCTCAATTTTGATCCTCTACAGGTGGCTCCCCAGCTTTGGTAGCCCGATGGCTTGCGAGCGAAGTCGAGCCCTCTACAGAGAACAGTTTAACGAGAACCAATACCACGCAACCTCGGTCCCTACGCAGACTGATCATAGTGGTCACCCACTCGCTTACTTACAGCAGCCATTGATGGCTGACTTTGGTGTTATACTGGGAACCGTGTCTTTAAGATCAGTTCACTGCGTGACCTGAACTTAGAGAAAATCTTAGCACTGAATTATATGTTTAACTAGATTATATTATAATTGAAAGGAAAATTATTGCATGTATTTGGGTTGTTGTTGTTAATTTACGTCGCACTAGAGTTGCACAATGGGCTATTGGCGACGGTCTGGGAAACATCCCGGAGGATGATCCGAAGACATGCCATCACAATTTTGATCCTCTGCGGAGGGGATGGCACCCCCGCTTCGGTAGCCCGACGACCTGCGCGCGAAGTCGAGCACTTTACGGTAGCACAGTTTAACGAGGACCAATACCGCACACCCTCGGCCCCTACGCAGACTGATCCAAGTGGTCACCCACCCGCACACTGACCGTAGCCAGTGATGCTTGACTTCGGTGTTCTGCTGGGAACCGTGTCTTAACGATCAGTCCACTGAGGGACTGCATGTATTTGTTTTAAGGTTTTGTTGATAGGGATATGGTAATTAGTTAGTTCCTAATGATGTTAAGAGAGGAAGATTAAGAACAAAGAGCTATATTAAGGGCTTGAGTTGTGACATTCTACCAAAATGCTTAAAGTTGTGAATTGTGGGTTAAAAAGGTCGCATGTTCGTGTTTGTAAATTCTTGAATCACAGCTCTAGCAAAATTTCGAGCCGTGATTCTTATTTTATAGAACTGGGACTATGACTCTGGAAGTCAAATTTGTATGTTCTGAAGCCTCAGAGCTCTTAAGTACTTAACCTCTTAAGACCAGACGAGTCATATATGCATTCGTACAGAATACATTCATGATATACGTATGTCCCGAAAAGTTAATTATGTGTAGAGTAATAGTTTATTTACAGGTACACATAGCATGCTGGCTTGTGTGCTCAATTACATATGTACGGCTCACAAGTCGTTGGTAAATAGAAAGCAGATAATACAAATTAGAGAAGGACAGCACGAAGACACATCTAGGGCAACGCGGGATTCGAACCCGCTACCTCCACGCTACAGAGCGTTTTGTGGGTGATACCACTCTGACAGGGTGGACTCTAGATTAGCAGTACTTTATTTACATCGTACTAATGCTGTACACTTACACTTGCCATGGCTTGTCCTTAGCTCCATTTTCCAGGTTCTATGCATGAAAAGCCACTTAATATTTTCTCAGTCAGACGACATGGACAGAGGCTGAGTTACATCTCCAAACTTCCACACCACAGCCAAAGAGAGGACTTTCAACCAAGACGAATTTAACGTGAACTTTGTTGCGTATACACGTCAGTTGTTTAGTCGGCAATCAGGACATAATCTCTCCGTTTAAAATAATAAAACAGTTTTTATTTACGAGCAGGAGAGGAATTATTAACGAACGTTAGTACCAAGAGCAAAACTGATTTTGACGGTATAAAAACGTCAACATATCGCTGGTTCAAAACTAAAACGACACTTCTGCAATCACTTCTCATTCAAATAACATGAGAAGTCAGTGAAGAAGTGTCGTTTTAGTTTTGAACCAGCGATATGTTTATAAATTTAGATTTTGTTGGATTTCTGAGTGTTTCATTGAAATGCTTTCCTGGTGATTCTTAGATTTTAGCACATCTCCTTAGAATTAACATTAAGAACGTTTAAATTTCGATGTTTTGTTTATTGTTATTATTTAAAAATGAAAAATAACAAGATCGCAATCATCAAAGTCTTTAAAATTTAAATGACAATATTTATAGCAGTTTGAAATGTTTAGAATAATCTTTGCATAGAAACCGCCACCAGTAAGTTTATTTAAAAATTGAACCACTTGGTCGACTGATGTTCCTTTAAGTACTTTATTTTTAGTTTTCAAATCATATTTATAAGATATAATACTTATCATTAACTTCCATACGCTCATTTGTGTTTTCAATTTCCAGAAGTATCTGAAGTGTGTAATAAATTCTTGCACAGATATAATCATTTATTCAGGCAAAAAATATTTTAATACATATTTTAGTATACACAACAGTTTTTCTTTGTTTTATATCTATCCTTGATTAAAATAACCACCTTTAGACACGGTCATGGCTGCGCTCCTTTGGAACATTCTATTAATTGGTTTGTAAACATGTTGGTTCCAATGTTTGCGTTTACCCAATTGAATGATTCCACCCACTGATGAATCCACCTTAGATTTATATGGGTGATGCTAATATTCAGAAAATTCCCTTAACACCCTGCCAAACAACTCATTACATCCCTCCTGTCTGTTTTCAAAACATACAGTGGTCAAATGCATGAATTTGGTCGAACATTTTCCTTTTTAGATCGTATGTTTAAAAATTATACCTTTCTAAAAATTATACCTTTCTAAAAATTATACCTTTCTAAAAATTATTCCTTTTTAAACACCAATGATTCATGCAGAAATACTGAGGCAGTTTAGTACAGCAGCAGTGAACCCTTGAAAAAATCTCCCCTAAAATATTAAGTAATTTGAAGATTTGTTTAGACAATAGTGTTTTTCAAGACAATAGTGTTCTGGCCTTAATGTAAATTTTAAAATCCTTACTAAAAATAAAATTAAATTAAAAAAAACAGTGCACATCAGGCATTACAGATTAATATTTGAGCAAGGAAAAAACAGAAACATTTTCGAAATTTGATGAACAATAATGTGAAAGGTGAGATTAAAAAATAACCAAACCTGTTTGATTGTCTTTGAATAACATATAAGAAATAGAAAGACTTCCAATTTTCGATGTAAAGGTTATATTTCATATGCATCTCAACACTTTGTTTTATACGAGGAGGATGGTAAAATAGAGAGACATGTATGAAGCATGGTGATAAGTTTAAGCTTATAATATATCTACACTAAACATCAAATTCATTGTGATTAAACAGCATTTTTATAACAATTGGTTCAAAATAATGAAGATATTAGATTAGATTGGTGTATTTTTTCATTTTCTCTTCTCCATTAACTTCTGACAGGGATACATAATGACAAGAAATATCATCTCCAGAAAATCAAACAGAGCGATAAGCGATATACCTAGCCACAGTCCAATATAGCCACCCAAGTTGCTGAAGATTTCTATGCTCTGAAATATTAAAAAGAAGTTGATGAATATGCTTTTAAACATTCCATAAAAAGAAGGAATTCGAAATTAAAGAACTCATTGTTAACCATCCTACAGTCGAAACCATTAAAAATGAAACTTAGTGCATGGGAATTTGTCTCAGTTAAAAAAAGGCTTTCAAAAGTTGTTCTTTTTCAGGTGGTATTATAAATAATGATTGTTGTTGTTGTTGTTCATTTACGTCGCACTAGAGCTGCACAATGGACTATTGGCGACGGTCTGGGAAACATCCCTGAGGATGATCCGAAGACATGCCATCACAATTTTGATCCTCTGCAGAGGGGATGGCACCCCCACTTTGGTAGCCCGACGACCTGCACGTGAAGTCGAGCACTTTACGGTAGAACAGTTTAACGGGGACCAATACCGTACACCCTCGGTCCCTACGCAGGCTGATCCAAGTGGTCACCCACCCGCACACTGACCGCAGCCAGTGATGCTTGACTTCGGTGATCTGCTGGGAACCGTGTCTTAACGATCAGTCCACTGTGGGACTATAAATAATGAATTACATGTTTAGCCAAATGCCTTAATAATAGCTGTTAAATTTATAAAATAGCGCAAGCAATAGCTATCAATTTCCATCATAAGATAAAAAATTGGCTTGTTTCAAATTAAGGGGAAACAACACAGTGAAAGTCTGTAAAAAAGAAGGATTTTTTAATTAATTTCTCATTGATTGTGATAAACTTAATTTTTTTTAAATATTATTGTTTATATTTTAACCTTCATTTTATCATGTTACAAATGCAAAAATTAAAAAAATTAGCGCTTATATAATACAACGTTTATAACTTATTATTTTAAATTATATTTAATTTGCTGAATTCATAAGTTTTAAAAGAATCATTCAAATTTAAATCCATTATATGTGTTACCGTTAAAGTATGAAATCCGTTATTTTATAGAATACCTAGTTATGCGATGAAATAACTGATCGTGTCTGTTAAAGTGTGAAACTCTCTTGTATTTCATGGTTTAACTAGTTATTTCATAGAATAACGATCTGCAGCCCATTAAAGTGTAAAATAAGATGAAGTTGAAGTTGTGCAAAAAATCTGCAAATTGTGTTTTAATGAACTTAATGTTCAAGTAGAAAGAGAAAAGTCTAAAAAATGTTTAGAAATTCAAGCGAAAAAGATGAAATTAATGTCGAATAAATCTCATTCTGAAGCCTCTGTGGGGTTTACCGTTCGTATCCCAGTGCCTGAAGTAGACAGAGGAAAAGGTGATGCCAAATCTATTTTAGCTATCATCATAAAAATAACCGAAGAAGGATTTTTCCAATTGGGCACAAGAAACGGCCGCATAAAACAATTATATTCCCAATCCCAGTTCAGTGTCTGCGAACAAAAATTAATTAAAATCGAAGAAGTACCGGATGTAGAAATATCGCTGCTGTTGGTTGCTACAGCTCAAAGTTTAGGTACTGGTCAGGGATTTAAAAAAATTTTCGTGTAAAACCCAGTGTGTTAACAAAAAATGTTTTTGTTTTAGAAATAATGTTCTTTGTAATTCCAAGTGTCATTTTAGTAATCCTTGTTGTAACAAATGATTTTATGGTACGTTTCCATAAATACCATTTATACGCTGCATAAATTAGATAAATTGCTTCTTTTTCATTTTAATTGTCTATCATTAGTTTATTTATAGAATACCTAGTTATTTCATTTTAGATAAATTGTTTATTTTACACTTTAACTGTCTCTCATTAGTTAATTTACAGAATACCTAGTTATTTCATAGAATAACTAGTTAAAGTGTCAAATTAATAACATATTACACACTTTAACGGACACGATCAGTTATTTTATGGAATAACTAGGTATGCTATGAAATAACTGCATTATATACTTTAACGGTAACGTATATATTCTTTAAAACTACATGAATGCAGTTTTCGTTGCACATAAGATTTTAAAAAATCAATTTTTTTTCCATAAAATGGTGATGTTTTGTTAAAAAAAGTAACTTAAAATAAACTACATTTTCGTAAATTGCTCAAAACCTGTCAACTCAATTAAAAAAATCCCTACGTGGAACGAAAACTATATTCATTAAGAACATTATGTCAAAATTTGAAGTAAATCGATTGAAAATTGTACTTGTTAGAGATATAGCAAATAAGAAAAGCACAATTTCGAGTAAATTGAGTTTAAAATTTTCTAATCCATAAAATATAACTTTATATATTACAAATATATAAGATTTTGCAATTAACTATAATGCATTAATACCCCGGTCCATAAGATCCATGCTATAGGATTATTTTCAGGAGTTTTTAAATGTTAGTATAGCCTGTTTTGCTATCGGTCTACCCTCATGCGACGCTTCGTATGTTTTTAGAGAATCAACCGAAGTTCTGTGGGCATCTTTTGAACACATTTTTTGTCTGCTGAGACAGCAAAATATAAATAAGATAATTTTCAAATACATAATATTTCAATGTGTGCTAGTTCTAGCTCATTTGAATTCTCTGTTGTTAAGTTCCAACTTTCAAAGACAAAAATCGAACACTTTAACTATGGATATTAACCAATAGCTGTCTAGATTCTTAAGATACTTTGTTTAGAACTTTACCTCAAATTTCGGTCTGTACGTGTAAGTTCTTGTTTCCATACCATTCAAGTCAATTTCTACTGTAATAATATTTCTGAAAGAATAGCAATAAAATGAAACAAAAAGAAAGTGAATTATTTTGATAATTTGAGTGCATTTAAGAAAATTTACTATATCCAATAAAACGTGAAGCAAATATAGTATTCTTTTTTAAAAAAATTGCTATGAAGCTTGAATCTTCTATTTCTAAACATAGATAAGAGTATGAACCAAGCTGAGAAAATATAAAAAGCCTGAAGCCGTTCAGATTATGGTTCTTGGCACCATAGTGACTTTCTAAGTTCGTCATTTAAGTGTATTATTTGCAACTAAACACCGGATAATACTTAGCTATGTTCAATCTATCCCATTTTGCCATAACGTCATTTACAAATAAGCATGATTCAATTAGAGTCTTCAATTAGAGATTACGAATTTAAGTACGTTTTGACACTATTCCTTACTAGGACACCTTATCTAGATTCTGCAGAGTTGTTAACCTTTTGGTTTTCTGAGATTACATTGCAGCCCTTTTTGAGTTTTTCAAACTTGGTAGATCCAGGGACCCATCAAGACAAACTCAGGTCTAAGGCCCACCAAATTTTCTGGACCCCTTACAAAATATTTCGAAATTAAAATACTGAAACTTACGTAATATTTTGAGTAATTAGTCCTAACAATACAAAAGAATCTATTGAACTGCATGATTCAAGATAAACATTCTAAGAAATTTTGAAAGCAGATAATCTATATTATATAAAACGCTAATACGTACGTATGTATCAATGAAACCGATGATATTTCTTTTCTCGCGTTGGCAACAGTTTTCATTTTTAATTGATGGGCTTCGGCGCGCAAGAGCACGTAGTGAGCATCATATGTCTAATCGGGCGAATTCTCACCGAATTATCAAAAAAATTCTCACAAAACTATCTTCATCGAAGCCGATGCTTTACATCCGGCGTTCAGAACTATTTCATATTGTTTTACAACACATGGTTTTAGCCCTTCGGTGGGAAAGACTTTAAAACAAAACTTACAACAGTTACTTTTCTCAACAACTGAAATTTAGAATAGTGTGATTAAGAAAAATATGTGAACTGTTTGCAATTTCAAATTAATATTGAAATGCACAGGTTTAGAATTTTCTACAGTGAAAAGTTTTCGGAACTTCAGTGTTCAAAAAAGTAT